TGTAAAATCATAGAAAAGGAATATTGATGAAAATTAATTAAATATTACAATGATAGTTCAATTATTTTTATGATTAAATAATATCTTATGTATACAAGCTGAGATAATGAAAGCACATATAAAATGCATTACCCATTTTATTTACAAAGCCATTTTGCAGAAATTAAAAACAAAAATATTTTCAATACATTTCATCATATACTTAACATAAAGATTGACTATCAGACAGCCACCTATCTGTAATACTCATGTGTCTGATTCAGTGGAATATTTTAATTTTTTTATTTTGGAGAACATGTGTCTATAGACTAACAAATATAACAAGTGATGACGACAATCTGAATAAAATGCAACTGTTGGAAATAAACTAATAATAATAATAAAGATACAAATAATATTAAATTTGCCAATAAATTAAATCATTAAAATAATCCTGATGATTGCAAATAGCATATGGAATAACGATAATTAACACAGTTCAATTTGAATGATAATAACAACACAACTTCCTTTGAATTAATACTAATTATAATAATATTTCAGATTTTCAAAGCATCCCCTCAGAATTCTCGTATTAATTCTTTTGATTATTCTTATAATGAGAATATTGTCAGTAATAATAACAATTTATAAACTAATGAAAATAATCATGATGCTTATCACTAAATAATAATTTTAAGCAGGGAAATAATAATGGTTATTATAAAGATTATAATTGTTAAATATGACAAATAAATCATTAATTTAAAACAAAACAGAGGTCCTTATGTGCTGGTTAGAGAAATGTCAACAATAACAATACTGATAGAAAATTCCCTAAGAAACTCCACCCAGACAATGAGTGCTATCACAGCAGCAGTGACAGCAGCCATATCAGGGGTAAAGGCAATATGAGTAAGAGGAGAAAAAGGAGAAAGGCACAGACAATAACAATGATAACAGCACAAGTGGTTTTCTGTATGGCAACACCAGTAACTGCCGTATTCCACATGTTTTGCAGTGTGTACATGTGACTTTATGACGTATCAGCTAGGAATTTGGATCTTTCTTAAAATGACCGGGAAAATCAAGGAAAATATTGAAATGCCTGTATTTGATTTGTTTGTTTACCTGGACTCACTTGCTTCATTCTGAAATGATTTGTATTAACAGATAGAATGGCTAGTTGTGAAAGTGAAAGTGAAAGTGAAAGTAAAACTAGAAACAGAAATATATAAAAGAAGTTATAATCTAAACGTTAAATAATAATGAAATGGATAAAGAAAATTAAATTAAAACATTTGCAATTTTTTCTCCTGCCAAGTATTTGATGCCAAACTTACAATGGCATGAGAAAAACAAAACTGATATAAATTGTAAAATAATAAGTGTAAGAAAATTGTAAATCAAGAAACAAGTCTCATCTAATATTAAACGATATTATATATTGGGCACTATTTGATCATGCAAATGCCTTATTACAAAGTATATGTTATTCTGATGGAAAAAGTCACTCTGGAAATTTTCATAAGTATTTTATGTTCTTATTAATAAAGTATATGACTTTAAAAATCCATTAATGTTCTTAACAGTCTTAATTAAGTATTATTTATGATATGATTTTTACAAAAACAAAATTAGGTTGCAGAGTTTAAAAAAAACAGTAATGGACGGTAATGAAAACAAGACAAAACTGAATGTAGAAAGAACAGCTGTTAAAAGTCAACACTCTTGTCATTTAGACATGCTTTTATATTTTTACTTTCAAGTTATAGAAAGAAAATGATTCATAAAAATTAAAATGGTTCTATTAGGACTTCCTTCTCCAATTTAAAAGCTTTTGGCATAGGTTTTCAAATCATCTTCAGGGGACATGCTGTATGCCACAGTTTAATATAAGAAAACTTTTACATCAATTCAAAGTTGTATATTCTAAAAGTAATCTAGACATTCTACTTCAAAGAAGAAATATCATTCAATTAATGTTCATATAGCACATGGTAAATGTTATTTTTGTTTATTTATATAAGTTTTGTAAAAAATATGTTTTTAAGAATTTTTAGTATTTTTTAAAAATATATTTGTATTTTATTCATTATTATATGAGAAACATATTTCTGTTTTGATCTTACTTTTAACAATGTTTTCAGAATAAAATGGTAATCAATAGAAATAAGATCAATACAATTAAAATCTTTCTATTAATTCTTCCATAAATAAAACAAAAACATGTATATTGTTATGCTGTAAACACTTACCCACACATACATGAGAGAGAGAGGGGCGGAGGGAGAAAAGATGGGGTGGGGACACATATACGCATACTGATGATTGGTAACAGTCTAGTGATCGGCAGTAATACAAAATTACAAAGCAGAGCAACAACTTGTCATAGGATGGCGTAAGTTCCCACAATAATCAAGTAATGGGATGATAAGGAAAGAGAGAAAAAGAAAAAAAGTACTCACATCTGTTGCAACCCACTCAGAAAAGGCAATGATCATAACAAATATATGTATATATACATATAGATATATATTTATTTATTTATAAATATATTTGTAAAATGAAAAAATATCAAATTTGGTTCTTCTGTGTCCCAAGAAAAGTAAAAGCCAATAAACAAACAAATGACTAATCCATCTCTTAATTAGTTTTTTCCTTTTTTTTTTTTTTTTTTTGTCTATAAAGTATGTGATATTATATTTTTTTAAAATATCCTTTTCATGTGCTTAAAATAATGATAAAATTTTCTAAACTTTTCTTTTGTTTTTTCCTGAAGAGATACAAATATATGTATATAGGTAAATGCATATATGTGTGTATATTCCCTGTAGCTATCCTGTGTAGATTAAATGGTAAATGACTCTCAGATTGCAAGGTAACAGTATTTTCTTGATGAGAGATCCTTCGCAGTGTTAGAAATTTAAGGAAAAAAAATATGAAGGGGCTGCTCAATTTATTTCATCTGGAGCTTTTATCAACAATAGCTGCTTGCTAGGCGTGTGACTGATACTGTCAGAATGGCATTGTGGTGGGTGGGAAGGCTGAAGAAAGGGAAAGTAAGGTTTGGGAAAGGCAAGTGAAATCAAGGCAAGATATGGGGAGAAGGTCGGGGGAGGACATCACCATGGTGGTGGTGGTGGTGGTTACACTTTGCCTTTTGTGGCATATGTTAGTGCTTTGTAAGTTTTGTTTTATTTTCCTCTTTCGATTCTTCGATTCCCGACACCAAATAGTCAGTCAGCCCGTCAGTCAGAGCTAGACTAAATCTAAATTAACAAGAAAAGATAAAAAGGAAACAATAGACAAAAAAAAAAAAATACAAAAACAAAAACAAAAAAACTTATGTGCACTCTATGCAAACAATACCTCTCCATCCACTGGTGTTAAGTGTGTGCGTATTTATGTGTATACACATGCATAAATGTATGCGGGTGTTGTGTATCTGTAAGTGTAAAGAAAGAACAGTATGGCACCACAGGAATGAACAGGGCCAATTTTTCACTTTCCCCAGCGCCAGTCACAATAGGCCGACCAAAGGCATTCTTTGTCATCTGAGAGCCAAGTGCGGAATTGATTGCAAGAGAATGGACATCATAATTTCATTCATGGAAAATCTGGTGTGTGCCTGCTTAATATAGAAAGGTAGGCCAGGACAACACAATGCGATTTAATTGACTCATCAACGGGCGTATTATCTGCCGGCAGGATCAATACCGACACGACATTCCAATGCATGGGACCAGTCCACGGAAAGGACAGCCTATTGTAAGACCATGATTAACGCTACTGACTCATTGCTCGAGAGGAATTCAACTCAAAGACCAAGAGAATGCAATTAATTCCTATTGCCTCTTATACAGCTACATGACGGCGGAGGTGGTGGCAGCAGTGATGGTTCTGGCAATGTTGGGGGTGGCTGTGTGTATTGTGGGTGGAGGCTAGCACTGGGTGGGGTGTGGTCGCAATGGCAAGGGTGATTGTGTTGGAGGTGGGTGCATTACATTGTGGGTATGTGTGCGAGTGTGTTTAAAAGACATAGAGAAGGAAAGAGTGTGATAAAGAGGTAGAAATAAGAAGGAGGGAAAATGTTTTTGAAGAAGATGAAGAAAGAAGGAGAAAGATGGAGAGAAAAGAAAGAAATCTTGAATTAGAGATGGAAAAAAGTGAGTTTGAAGGATATAAAAAGAGTGAGAACAAAAGAGAATGAAAAAAGTATGGGGAGTGAATTTCAGAAAGAGAAAGACAATGGATGCATAATGAATGAGTAAAACAAGAGAGAATGTTCATAGAATGAGAGACATGGAAAAATGAAATGTAGATAGTTTAACTGCTGGGTGCAATGATAAAAAGATGAAGATAGGGGTATTATTTGTGGGTGCAAGAGAGGGCTCAATTTTAAGTCTAGCATATAGTGAGGAACCATAGCGTATATGTGTGTGCACATATCCAAGAGAAGAAAAGAGTATATAAGTAGAAGAAATGTAATTTGACAAAAACGGAGAAATAATAATTATAATAATAATAATGGGCATCAACATTATCATCAGTCTCTGAAAATTGAGGAGAAAAAAAATTAATTCCCTAGCAATGATCTGTAAGACAATATAAAACAACAGCTAGCCCATAATCCACAAATATTTTAATCACCACATATATTTTAAGCTATACATATTAGGACAGATTAGCTTTTTGTCAGTCACAAGACCATGAGGATTGGTTCCTGAGCAATTATTGATAAAAAATATCTTATAAAACTATATAACACAGATATTTAAAACAATCAGCTTTGTGCCTGGCACAAGATCATGAGGACTGATTCCATAGCAATGGTCTGTAAGACATCCTTTAACAACAGGCACTAATGTTATCCTGAGTATATTCTAACATGGCCATGATTTTTAGAATAATTTCATGTTAACTGTAACAAGAGAATAAGAATAACTGTTAATGATAGGTGTTGGTATTAATATTTATTAATGGTGGTGAGTATTATCTAAATAAAGGAGAAGAGAGACTCAGTTTAAGGGAGAATGTGCAAAAGAGAGACTTTGTGGGAGAGATACAAAGAAGAAACTGACCATGATTGTTGAGGAGAGCTTTAGGGCCAGACTGAGCAGGAGAGGGTTGGTCTGAGCATGGACAAAGAAAGTCCAGAGTGTGAGGTTAGGGAACCTGGGTGATATGGATGATTGGTTGGGGAGGAGAAAAGAAAAGATATGGGCAGTGAACCAAGCTGGAGATGCAGCAACTGTTTGAACTGAAAAAGTTAAGTATTGAACATGAAAATGAAAAGACAATAAAGGAGAGAGGGAAAGGAACAAAAAAATTTGGCTAGAAAGAGAGGAAAATAATGAAAAAATGGTTTGGCATAGAAACTGGGAAGAATAAAGGACTAAAAATAAAAAGGAAGTATTAAAGAAAATAGAAAAAAATAGGTTAGATTTTATTAGAGGTATAATAAAAAAAAGAAAAGAAAAAAAGCAGAAAAAAGAGGAAAGAAAAATCAGAAGGAAAAGAGATTGTCTTGTTTTTTACAATTTATCAACCTTTTGTAGCTTATTTAAAGTCAGAAAATATTTTTACATTGTAAGACTTTTTTGGTGATAGTAATGATTTACTGATAAATCCTTCTAATAAACCTATAGCTAGTGGGGAGATGAGGTGGAGAGTTTTTGTGTATAAGTGAATATAACGAACCCGACTGGAATTGGAACTCAGTTCTTCGATTTCCAATTCTGAGTTGTTATCTGTTGCACCACCCACACATCCAAGCTAACAGCACCTGGTATTCCCAAGTGGTCACCCATCTCAGTAATGACCAGGCTCGGCTTTACTTCAGTGATCATACAAGGACTGGTGTTTTTCAACGTGATATGTCTATAAGCCTACTGTTGGTTGAAATTTATTAACTTTTTTCTTCAGTTTTCAGGAAATAAAATTTCTCAAGTCCACTGTTATCACTCTTTCTAGTACTGATTTTTAATTTAGTATGGAAAGTCAACATCTTGATTATATTATTAACTTTCCTCTAAATTACATATGCTATCCATTTTCATTGCTGCCGCTGTTGGAAGTGTACAATGTGGTTTTTGTTATTTTGTAAAGCTCTTTGTACTTGTGTATCGCCAATCTATAGTGTCTGATGAAGGATTGTCTTTAAATACTCAAAAAGCTTACTTTCCACACTATGTTAAACAAAAAGTTTGGAAGGAAACCCCCATTGTTACTCAAAAGAGTTATAGCTGTTAGTTGATTTGAGAAGTTTAATTTCTTAAAAAACTGTTTATAAGATTTTAGAAAATTTCAACTACTAATTAATCCATAGCTAGAGGAAGAAGAGGTGGATTCATACCTTTTTCAAGAGTATTTGTGCATAAGTAAATATAACGAATCTGACTGGAATTGGAACCTGGTTCTCCAATTTTCAATTCTGAGCCATTATCCATTACACACATCCAAGCTTACAACACCTGGTATTTCCAAGTGGTCACCCATCTAGGTACTGACAAGGCTCAATGTTGCTTAGCTTTGGTGATTGCATGAGAACTGGTGTTTCAAATGGATATGGCTGTAAGCCAGGAGGAAAAGGGAACAAAGAAGTTGAGAAGGAAGGATAATGAAGAAGAAGATAAAATGAAGAAAAAGAAACAGAAACAAAGCATGTTGACGAAAGAAACTGACATGAGCAAGATCGAAATAAAAATAAGAATTGAAAATAAAAAAAGATGTGGAATAATAACAGACTACAAAAGAAATATCATGTGTGAGTGAGAAAGTGACAAAGAGGTGCAAGAAAAGAAGAATGAGAAGAAGAGGGTGTATGAGTTTGTTAAAGAAGCATAACTGAGAAGATGGCTAAAAAAAAAAAATCATATCTCAGAGAAAAAAGTTTTTAGGGTGAAGATAGGTGGGCAATATTTCGGAAGAAGGTCTGAAAAAGAATTTCCAGAAACATTTTATATGAAGGGAAAAAAATGAATCTAAGAAGAAAATAGTGAAAGTAGAATGAAAAATAAAATAAATCTAAGAAAATGGTGAAGGTGGAATGCAAAAGAAAGCAGACAAAAATAAGTTAGGGATTAAAAAATAAACAAGATAAATATGAGATTAAAATAGAAAAATAATGTTTTGCTCATTTTGGAAAAAAAAGATGGAAACTAAAAAAATATTATACAAATCTTCATTGTATTCTTTTCTTCTATCCTAGAATACTTTCCCTCTTTACACATTACACTTTTTTTGCCTAAAACTTTTCAGATTCATATATGCATATCTGGTGTGGGACAGTTAGAAAAACATGTCTTCCTGTATTTACTACAAGAAAAAAAAAAGAGAAAAAATCCCTAACAATGTTTCTTTTTCTTCTAGGATGTATCAATTCTTTTTTAATGTTACCTTTCTTTTGTAAGACAACTCTGGGAGTCAAGCATACGTATCCAGTGTTGTGGGACAGTTGGAAAAATAAATCAATAAGTAAAGGAGAAGGTAAAAAGATAAAAGGAAGTGTACCAGTGACATTATTAACACTGCAAAGGTCTAAATACAATAGAAAAAGGTAAAAAAAAAATAAGATTGATGAAATAAAGATTAAATTTAGAATGTCTTTGCAAAATTAAATCCAAACAAAATACAAGGATACTGCATAAGATAAGGTATCCCTGGAAAGATGCTAAAGAAAATACAATCAGGGAAATACGAAGAATTTTGTAAATACTGTGAGAAAAAAAAATCTGTTGTCTGTGTTGAGGCAAAGTTTGAGGTGTTTTTTGTGTATGCTTTTCAGTAGTGATCAAAACAGAAAAAGATTGTTTGAAAATGAATGTAAGTATAATGAATGACATGAAAACTAAGAAGAAATAAAAAATCTATGGTTTAAAGAATGAAATGAAGAAATGAGAAACTATTTAAAAAAAAAATATTACACTAACAAAAAAATGAACTAAAAGAAATTGAGAATGCATTTAGAAAGAAATAAACATCAAAAGAAATTGCAAATGAAAAAGAAAATATAAGTGAAATTAAGATAAAAAGAAAGAAATTTAAAAATATATTAGACTAAAAAATGAATAAAATCCAATGAAAATTAAGAAATAGGCAATATGAATAAGAATAAAGACTAGACATGCAAAAAAAATGAAAAAGGAAGGAAACTTGAGTTTATGATTTAAAGAAAGGAACAAAGTTATAGTTCTTAGTTTCTTTCTTTTTCAACTTTTACCCCAAGTTTTTTCTTTCTGCTACCCTCCTTTATATTTTATATTCATACTCTGACAAAAGAGCAAAATTCATTTTATTTTCTTGTAGCATTTTTTTGTCAGAATGAATCATAGTTTCAAAAAAGAAAAATAGTGATAAAAAAAATATTTTTAACAATGATTATCCAAAGACATATTAAAAACTATGATAGTAAAAAATAATGAAATAATAATGATAATATTAATAGAGAAAAATGGTTGTAATGATGAAAAAGAAATAAAGATGGTAATTATTCATTTGAAGAATTATAGTAAAAAGAATAAGAGACAAGTATATAATGCTAATCATAAAAATAAAGGTTGTTATAATATAAAATATGGTATGCAAAACAAGTGTAAGATATTTCAGTTTCTGAAAAAAAAGTTAGTAAACAATGCAAAATGATAAATACTTTGGCAAAGGGCATAGTTAAAAGTGATGTATGAACTGAAGCAAAATTCAAAGAAGCAGAAGATAAAAAGTTTTAGAAAAAGAGAAAAGGGAAAAAGATTAAGCTATAATTTTTGAAAAAAATGTCTAAATCCCAAAAGAAATAAAAACTAAAAAGTGAATACATTTTTGTTACAATTTTTTTAAAAGAGAAATTTTTTTCCTTTTTCAGTTTGCCCCATCCCATCTTATTATTCTTCTTATTTTTTTTAAAGGGTGAAGGGTGGCAACCGAGTAGAAGAATTTATTTCATCTCCCAAAGCAAGTGTTGATTAAAAGAGAAGGGGTCTTTGAAACAAAATGGTGGTGCTGAAATGAAAATACAATTTTGGTACAAAAGGGAAAAGTTGGCAGAAGAGAATAAGATGGCAAGAAAGGAACAAAGATGTCTTTGAGAGAAGAATGGCTTGCCAAAGTGAAAACATCTCAGCAGAAAAACAAAATGGAGTCAGGAGGAAGAGAAGAAAAGACATGCATCTTTTTCTTCCTTTATTATTAATATTATCTTGCATTCTTTTATGAAGAGTGAAGTGAAGGGGAATCAACAGGTCTTTATTTCTCTGTTTCAAGAGATTTAGAAAGGAATGACTCAATAAAAGTGAAAATCTGTTATAGGGATCCTTACCCACCCATGGTTCCATTACAGACTCATCCAACCACCAGACCTTGATTCCAACCAAGCATAATGGGGCAAAATGTCATCATCGTCATTAGAAGAAAACAACTGACAGAACACAAGAGGAGAGCCCCCTGTTCAGAAAACAGGCTTAAAATTTGTAACCTGTTCCGAAATCAATAAAACTTCTGCTCAGAAAGAACAAGCAGCACCTTGCCCTTGTTTCATGTCAGGGCACACAGACACACAAATATAGACATGCAGACACAATATATAGGTAATGGCATCTATTTGTAGACAAGTGTTTCCCTACCTGAGGTGCTAGAATGAAGTCATTTGTCATCATCGAAAGGGTGAACTTTGGGAAGCATTGATATAGATAATAGCTTAGTCTGGTGAAGAACCACACAAATAGAGAATTAAGCATACAAGTCTTTGACAGATATTTAGAAAGATCAATTTTGTGTTTGGCACATGGCCATGAAGACCTATTCTCTAGCAATTGTCCGTAAGACATCATTTAACAGCAGGAAGCTCATAATGCACAAATATTTTAATCTCCATGCAGATTTTAAAATAACACATATAAAGATCAGCTTATTGCTAGGCATAAGGCCATGAGGATTGATTTCCTAGTAATGATTGGTAAGTGCCCAAATATTTTAACTACCACACATATTTCAAAATAACATATTTAGAAAGATCAGTTTTGTATCTGGCATAAGACCATGAAGATTGATGCTCTAGCAATTGTCTGTAAGACTATCTACTTAAACATCATTTAACAACAAGGACTCTATAATACACAACTACCAAACAGCCACCAAAATAGTGACCAAACAGGATCTAAAATAACAATTACATGGAAATTCAATTAATACTGGCACAAGGATATGAGGATGAACAATTTGGCAATGGTATGCAAGGCTAGCTTCTTAGTAATTAACAGTATGCACTTCATTTTCCTGATAAATCTGTGTTTATGCTGATGACACACCTGTTTACTTTTGTCTTAAAAGTAAGTCTGATAAAGTAAAACTGGTAGATGATCTTGAAAATAACCTTTAATAAGTTGTTAAATGGGACAAGAAATAGCTTATCTATTTTAATATCTAAAAAAACAAACCTGCTATCTTTTAATAATATTTTTGCCTTTATCAGCATGGCTGATGCTAACCTCCAGGAGAGTAACTCCATAAGTTTTCCATTGACATGAAGTGAAACAATGATATTGAATCAATTGATAGGTTTCCTTCAAAGAAATTTGGTTCATACTGTTGTGCAAGACAATTTATCTCATCAGAATCTATCTTGCATCTTTATAAATTTACCATTTGTCTGTGCATTGAATATTGCTGACATATCTGGTCTAGTGCACCTGCTATATATTTCAAGATTCTTAACAAAATACAAAAAAGAATCTGCAATGTTATCTGTCTTGACCTGCCATCAGTCACATTTCCACAACAGTGATGTGGCTTCCCTTTATTTTGTCTATAAATATTTTCATGGTAAAATGAGCTTTTCTCTTTGGTACCTTGACCTCATGAATTTAACCATAGTACTAGATTGGCAATTAGGTCTCACCATTTTATGTTGAAATTGCTAGTTCTATTCTAATATTTTCTTTTCTTGCACTTCTTACCCGTGGAACTCTTTCAATTTCTTGCTCCCCTATCAGCTATGACTTTCAAAGATTTAAATGCAATATCAGTTGACATATTATATATATATATATATATATATATATATATATATAGATATATATATATATATATGCCAGAGTAAAGAAACAGTAAAATATTTGTTAAGATCATATGCATTAAAATACTCAGTATCAAGTCTGAAGACCAGACTTGCAGATCTGTTTAATATTTTAAAAAAGCTGTGGATGCTGACTAGAACACTACTGCAATTTTGACCATGAAAGGTCTCTTCAGGTGGTTTGTTCAGCAAATCAATCAAATGGAGCTTAACAACTTAAGCACTTTAGTTCAAAACCGGAAGTAGTGGGGAGAGATGTAGAGAAAAAAAAAATTCCAACTTTATCTGGGTTCAAATAACTCCAAAGTGAACTACTTAACATGTCTACACTTGGTCAAGATCTCTGACCTCTCGTTCAATAATTCAGTGATCTCTTTATATGTTGCTATAGCTAGTTTCTCTTCTTGGCATAGCTTACACGTATTCCCGATTATGATGTTAGTCTTTAGATTTCGTACTACATTTAATGTTTGTGTTTTTGTTATGCTTCTCCCTAAAGTTCCAATAGTAATTTGCTAGTTTTATGTTGTACCTATGTTCCAGGATTCTAAAAGATGAGGTATGATTATATCATCTTTTCTTGAACTGGCCCTCAGTGCAACCAATGTATTTTTTGTGCTATTATTTTCACCTTCCACTTTTGCACAATATACAACTTGTTTCGTATGACATAATCAATTTAAAGGACAGTTATCTTTTGTCCTGCAATTACATAAGACCATATTTTCATCTTTCATGTCATCTTTAAGCTTTAAATTTTTGTTATTCATTCTTTTTATAATGTTGCCCATATTACTGGTGTAGCTATAACTTAATTTGACCATATTGCACTTAAATAACTTATATAGTTCAGATATATTAGGGAAGTGCTTATCTAATATATTGAAAAACATCTTCCCTATGATTGTTTTGTTGAAAGGTGGATTGAACGAGATTATGTTCCGCTTTCTTCTTTTAATATCAATACTTGCTAATAAACTCATAGGTTGGCAAAGATTAGTGAAGGTTATATTCAGAAGCTGATTTAAGAAAAAAAAACGGTTTTTCTCTTAACAACCTACATAGGACTTAAAAACTGTGTTATTTACACAAAGTACGAATCTCTTTTCTTTGCTTGGTATCATTATGTAAATTTAAATTTCAATACACTGGATTAAACACCTAGAAACTCAGTATTTTTTCTCATTTCATACACCTGTCAAGAGCACTATGAGATGAAAACCTCTGAAATATTTTTTAAAATCAATTCACCCAAACAAAGTGATAATGTCACTAAGATACAAGAGGCTACTGGGTGTGAAAGAGAATGAGGAGACTTTGCAAGGAACCAGAAACCCAATCCTAAACAGAAAATAAGGGATAAACATCTACTCCTGTTCAAAAGACTGAGGAGGAGTATTTACCCTTATTGAAGGAAAAAACAAATAAACAGTAAATAAAATTTCAGCATTTAGGTAGTCATGTCAGAACTATAGAATTGAAGTAGACTTCAGAAAGAACTAGAAACCCAATCCTAAACAGGAATAAGAGTGATAAACCTCGACTCTTATTCAAAAGACTGGGAGAAGGGTGAACTGGATGACAGGCAAACCTATCTACTTCTATTAAAAGTAAAGCTTGACTATCAGGATTGTATTTGTGGAACATAAAATATCAGAACACTATCTATTACAATCTATTATAAACATTTACTGAAGGTAGAAAGCCAGAATAAAGGACTAACTATCAATTTATAAGAAAACAGGATGTATGGTTGTCAGTAAGAGAAAATGTTCAAGTTATGAGCTATGAATGGGAGATGTTAAAATCAAGAAAGTAAAGAAGTTTAAGTATCTGGGAAGAGTTGTAAAGGCAAAAAATGTGACAGCAAAATCCAAAAGTATCTAAGAATGGTAAAAGCTGCCTTTCAAGAGCTAAGCAAGTATTATGGAACAGGAATATTTCATTAGAAGCAAACTGAACTTCTATGTAATATCAATATCCTTACACAGTAGTAAATGCCAGAAAATTTCCTTACGAATGAAGAGAAAACTTGAAGCACCAGAAGTGGACTGAGTAACAAAGAAGTTTTAAGGAAAATAGAAACAAAAAGAATGTTTATACTAAGAATCAGTAAGAAACAGTTGGCATTTCTAAGATACATAATGAGAAAAGAAGACCTGGAGAGTTTTACACTCACAAGACATAGTGATGACAAAAACGGCAGAGGAAAGCAATGAGTAATCTACCTAACAAGGTGTAAATGGGTGGCAGAGCAGGGATTGTGGGAAGAGAGACATAAAGACAAATATTGTTAAGAGTTATGAAGAACAGGAAGTTTTGGAATGTCATGACCACCCACGTCCCTGAAGGGTCATGACATATAGAAGAAAAAGAAAATCTATTACAAACATAATTTTGGTAGATGAACTTACAAAGTTGAATGCGGACATTTAAAAACAGCTGAACAAATATGGAAGAGATATTTATAGAAAGAGTTTGGGAATCCTTTTATTTGAAAAGTTTCTCAATCTGAGTCTGAAAAGAACAAAGAATATATTTATATATAAGTGTATATGTTAATAAATACACATATAGCTATGTTTGATGTTGTACCCAAGTCAATGGGCATGAGATATCTTGTGCCCGATGACTTGGGTAACCAATAAAACTTGAGTTGCACATCAAACGTAGGTATATGTGTATTTATTAACATATATTTCTTAGCTCTGTCTAATCTCACTGAGCACTATTATATCTACACCTCTTGGCTAAATTTGGTAATTATTTATTTGCTTACCAGCATATACATGCCAGCACATGGATATACAGTTGCTAATACTTAGTTATCTCATTTATCTAACCCTATACCTATATAAATATATATATAGATGGTACCAAAATTTTATATAGGGCACAGAGCAAAAAAAAAAACACTCACATTTCTGGAGTCTGTGGTAATAAAAGAGAAGCAGGCAATATTAAATAAGGTATCTTCCTCTATATTAGACTGTATATAACAAGTAAGTTTAAAAAAAAAGATTACACATTTAATGACCATTTAAATGACATCACCTTGGGTGACTTGAAAGTGGTTCTAGCAAATGTGAAAAT